GAGTCCCCCATCCTATATCACGATTTGATGGATGTCTCTGTCTCTTTTTCTCTCTGAACACCTCTGCCATGTTTTGGTTTGTGGCACTGATGTGAGACAAGGGGAACATCTTTGGCCTGATGATTTGCTCTCTCTCCCTTACCTAAACTGTACGGAGCTGCCAACCAAGGACACATCTTTAGTTCATGTACCTTTCAAACGTATCCGCAGGCATGACAGTTTCTTGAGTGTAATCCCATAAGCATGGTTGCCATGTGCATGGCCGGGGGGCAGGACAGAATCAGCGACTCTGTCCTTGGGAAAGCGGAGAGTGGAAGGCTGTTTTCAGGTGGGGAAGACCCATAAATGTTAAAAAGTGCACAAGAGCAAAATTACACAGATAATCAAAGAGCTTGTTGCTGTTTTCATTTAGCTATGGTTAATGCAAGATTTGTATTGGTTGACTGACCAAATCATCTTGTGTTAAGCGTGACATAATTATGAAGGCATTGTTTTATGGAGCAGTTAATGTGTGAGTAAATGGAGTGGAGAACTAGCATAGCTATTATAGCATATTATAGCCATTTATAGCATGATAACCATTTTTTACTGATGTATGCAGTGTTAAGTTCTTATTCCACATCTGAACTTATAAATAGGGATGAAACTTTGAAACTTGAAAGACCAAGGTCAAAGAGAGAGAAACATTTAAAAAAATAATAATTTAATAAACCAGAGATGGATGATTTCACATGCTGCAAGTGCATCAACATAATATCCAAGCAAAGCTGCTGAAAGAAATTTGAGTTATATTCATAACCCATAAAATATTTAAATAGTTGGTTTTTTCTATAATCATGTTTCAAATACAAAATAACTCTGTGGATAAAGTAGGCAAAACTCAGTCAACAAACAATGACATTTTAACTGGAGGCAACCCACAAAAGTCTTGTTTATGTTTTTATTAGGATTGTAAATACCAAAACCACTAGGGCATTGCTTCTCTATCATCTTGTGCTATCCTTTACACTTGTGCTAAGGACTATAAAAAGAGAATGGGAATGTTTTTTAATTTCACTTTTTACAAGTGTTCAAAATTCTACAGCCTATTTTATACAGATTAGACTATAGAACTTCTTACCTTAAAATCTATGCATTTATAAATCACACATGTCTATGGGTATGGAATACTGGGTACAACACAATACAGAGAAATATATATATATATTTGATGTTTCTACAAGGCTCAAACTGTTCAAAGCTATCTTGTTTTTGTTCTTCCCTAGAAATTTTAATAGGAGGTATATTTTTATAGCTATACTTATATTTTCATATATTTTAAAAGTTTTTAAAAGCTGTAGGCTGCATAGATTCTGATTTTCAGATGTGCTGAGCCATATACATTGACTTCAATCAGAGTAGAGCTGTTCTTAAAATCTGTCCTGTAAAGCCCAGTTCTACAATCCTTATACAGTAATGACTCATGAGGGTAATTCCCTTAAATTCAGTGGAATGACTCCTCTTAATAAGTATTCCTCAGTATGAGTGGGGATTGCACAACTGGATCCCTAGAAATTTAAAGAGAGCAAGTTTTCATACATTTTTTCTTACTTATTTATAATTTAGTCCCCTATGTTCAGGTGTGTGTTTTGTGTATAAATTTCAAATTACAATAAATATGTGGCAGTGATTGATCTTTAAAGTAACTCTCCTAAAGGTTTGAATTACACCATGAAAAAAATTGTGAAACTTATTTCTGTAACGCTTGGAAGGAAAATAGTGCAGCTAAGTACTTTCCTTTGGATTGCTAGCTGTTAAGGCACATTTCTTGCTCTGCTTCACCATGACATTTAACATTATTATTGAAAAAATATTTAAACAGATTGTTAATCTTTTTCTGTTCTATCTTTAGACTTTTATACATAAAATATAAGTGATTTGCATGTTTTGCTCCTAACTAGTGGAGGAAACCTGTTTTGCTTGATATTAAGGCTCTGAAACAGTGTTTTCCATAAGGTTTTATTTAGTCAAAAATCTACTAGAGGATTTTCTCCCTGTAGATAAAAGGAAAGGAGTCTGGTTTTTTTCCACTGAAGCCTAGTAGATCTCCCAGTTGTTGTTTTTGCTTTAAATATCCCCAATCTTTAATTGAAGCTTTGGGTCACAGAAGTCTCAGCAGGATTCTTGCACTCCAAACTGCTTCTTTCTAAACCATCTGTAACTGGTAAAAACAGACAGAACATTGTGCCATATAGAAATGTACAGCTAGCTGTACGTGAGTCAAGCCACCCCAATTCTCATAGACAGGGTTTCTCTGAATACTCAGCAGTGCCTGTTTGGCACAATATACCTACTGAAATGCTTTGCAATGATTGCTTATAAGAAGTGTATTTTCTCAGACTGGACAGACAGTAGTAAATCAAACCTGGGAGTCTTGGATGGGTATCTGCATAGATAACTTGGTAATGGAACAAATTGCAGTGCTCCATTTGTGAAATTCAGGTTATTGTGGCAGATGAACTGCACAGGAATAAAAATAGAGTTGTGTCCATTCTTGCTTGCTTATTGTGTATAAGGAAGACCTGGGAGGTCTTGCTGTTATTTTTAAAGGAGATTGCTTTTTATGTTAGAACTATCAAGAACGTCAGGCCTTTTGCTCCCTGTTTAATAGGAAGACTCAGTCAAGGTTTCAGATGTGCATTGTGGGCTTTCTTGAATCTTAATTGAAGGAATGGAGTTGTTTAATCTTTAAAACCTTTTCTTTCAGTAGTGTATTGGACATTTGAGTTAAATATGGTGGCTGTTAACAAAACCAAGTGAAAGAAAGCTGAGTTTTAAATTTTCTGAGTGCAAACCACATCTGGTCTTATTTAAGGCATGATCCAAAATCCAGGAAAGATGATGGAAAAACTCTCTGACTTCAAAGGGCTTTGGATCAAGCCCTGAATCAGGTTTCATTGCTGCTGTCTGTGATGTCTTCTTACTCCTACTAGTTCTCCAATCATTCCATAAACTCTTCTAATTAAAGTAGGTAGTCAAGTCCTGACTGTTTAGAACTCTTTGGTTTTTACTTATTTTTGTTAACCTCTATTTAAGGCAAATGCTGTTTGTAGAAAGGACTTGTTTGTTAAACACCATTCAGAAGGCATACAATTCAGTTTCAGTGAGTCCTCTAAGAAAAATTCTGGAAAAACAGGCTGGACCTTTTTGATATTTTTAAGGTACAAAATAGATTAAAAATTAATTAAAAATCTGTTCAGGCCTTTTTATTCAATATAAAGAAACATAAAAGATCAGAAAGAAACTTTTTTTATCCTTTACAAACTACTTCTAGAACTTATCTTTTAAACTTGTTTTTCAAAATGTAATGGCTAGATTTGTTATCCCTTGATTCATGTCATCCCCCAGCATACACTATATGGCTGAAGTCACACCTTACATTTGAGGATTAATGCCATTTGAGAGGGGTCAAGTAAGTCCCTTCGCTTACAATATTGCATAGTGTTGTAAAGTTTGCTTTTAATGTCCATATTTGATAGCCAATTGGCTACAAATGGGAATATTCAAATGCTATGGATCTGTGCATTATTGTTCAGATAATGGAATTTACCTGACCCCCACATAACAATTTTATTCTCTGGTGAGGCTCCACAGTGAATGTTACCCCAGGCAGAGTGCATACTGAGTTACATGGAGCAAGGACAGTGATCTAAAGTCCTTCTTAACTTTGAGGACCTAGAAACAGAAAACAAATAAGGAAAATATAAATCTGAGAACCACTTAACACAAACCCCTTATGAGATAGTGTCCCTAATAACTTAATGTATTATAATGACCTGAATGGCTATGTGAGCATTTCTGTTTTGCTCAATTCTCCAGCCCTTGGATAGGTCCCCTGCACTTTGCTCATTAATAGCCTGATCCAAAGCCTGTTGGAATCAATGGAAAGACTCAATGTTTTCAATGAGATTCTTTTGGCTTTCAGTGACAGTGGTAAATTTCACACCATATAGAATAATATATGGTATAATTCCAGTGAAGTATTTCTCAACAGCTTTTTACCTCAAATTTCATTTGTGAGATCCTTCATGTATAGCCACAAGGAGATCTGAAAGGAAATTGCCTGTCTTACTGGATTTTAGAAGAAATAATAGCCCCATAGTTCTTAAGTAGTTTTCTTTCAGCGTGAGCGTGCAGAAGTAGAGTTTATGAAAGGCACAATTGTGTTGGATTATAAGGGCAAATGTGCTATCACTAGGAGCATTAAGCCAAAGATATTTAAGTTCTATGATCATAGTGCAAGTTAAGTCTTTTGTTCCATTTTGATTATCTGGTAGTGACTGGAATGTCTGGAAACTTAGGTAGTATTGTTAAAAGCCCACATCAACCCTAAACCCGGGTGTCTTTTAGACTTTTATTGGCAGTGCTTTGTTGAATACCTTAACTGAGGTTTGTATGACTTCTATAGTGTTTGTACATTTTTCCCACCATTGTTCTATTTTACAACACAATTTACAATATACAGAAAAAAAGCATTTCCTTTCTAGATCGTCAGTATGTTGCTGAAAGGTGGTTTATTTTTAACTCAAAATTAGAAGTAGCCAAATGTAACAGATTTTGGTCAAAGAATAGTAGAAGTCTTATTAATATTGTAACTGCCAATGCAATATCTAATTAAGAGGTTGAATCTGTACCATTGTCCATACCTGCCTTTTCATCAAGCTAACAAAAAGTTATATGGTTATTTTTTGACTCTTTTTTTGTTCAGCATTCAGCTTATAATAAAATACATGCATTGTATGTTTAACATACTAGAAATTGAGTGTAAAAGATAAAATCAGAAGGATTAAAAAGACTATTACAATACACACCTTGTTTAGTGTCCCTACAAACTATCCTTCAAAGCTTTTTAGCAATAGTTTTGTTATTTATTGCTACTGTCTGAGGAAGCTCATAATATGATGAATGAAAGTTGAAGAACAATTAAGATAAATGTTAGGATACGGTCTACCAGAAGAAATGCTTCTATAAAATTATTCTTCACCTTTGTACATTCTGTAAAATTCATCTGAAGTTCCAGCAAAATTGGTACAGTAGTGTTTTTTTTTCTATAGATTATCCCAAGGACTGCGCCGTTAGAAGGTGGAACAAGACTAACAGTATGTGGCTGGGACTTTGGATTCAACAAAAATAATAGATTCGACTTAAAAAATACAGCAGTTCATATAGGAGGAAAACCTTGTATCCTCGAAGTAAAAGCTAGCAACAAAAACAAGTAAGATATCTAAAATGCCCTGCACAGTAAATCCCCTAAAGTCTTCATGTGTTAGATTGTAGACCTCCAGTGGCATCTGGCTTCTTCCAGTTCTCAAGTTTCAGACCCATGCAATAGTACAAAAATGGCATTAATCTTAAGCAACAATCTCCTCCCAAAAGGGGAATCCATTGAGAACCTCACTGTTGGAAGTCTGATATCCTAGCTAAGATTGATAGTTTTTTCAGTAGTCTTCACTACAGTTAACCATGAGGTGCTTTGCCACATCTGTTGGACCTGGTGTGACAGACGGGGTTGGGTGTAGGCACTGCGGAGGGTGCCACTCAGGGTGAATTACTCAAAACCAGGGCTGCTTACAGCCCTCAACTGGAAACCTTTCTCAAATAGGCCATAAACCAGTCACACCGAGTGCTTCAGTTGTCAACCCAGCCAGCAGGAAGCCTCTCGACACCCCAGCTCTCCATGTGCCACACACAGGTGAGGGGTTATAGAACCCAATCTCACCTACCCCAAACAGATCCTCCCAGTCCCAAAGAACCAGCCACAGTCCCTGATCAATTTATACTTTAGATCTTACTCACAAGATCATGCTGGACCAGTCCTTTAAGAATGTAAAATCTAAAGGTTTATTAATTAAAGAAAGAAAAGTTTGGGAGTAAAATTGTTAAGGAGAATACATTACATACACCAGTCACCAAGTTCCTGATGCAGGCTCTTAGCAGAGATGTTACATCTGCTAGCTTAGAAGTCTTTGATGTACATCCTGTGTCAAGATCGGTCAGCAATCCTTCCCGGCTCTCTGTCCCTAGCAAGGCTGCATCTGGGATCAGTAGCAAGATTGAAGACAAGATGGAGACCACCTCATGGCATTTTATATTCATTCCTGGTGTCTCCCAAGCTGGAGTGGGTCACATGATCAAGTGATCTATCTGTGTGTTCACATGCCAGCAGCCATTATGCCCTGGCTGGTTTTCAGGTTTCCAGATACATCCCTCAGATGTGTATTGACCAGTCTGAGAGCCATTGTCCATGCAGCAGTGCTAATTAGTATAGTCATTGACTGAACGATCCTTCCTCACAATAGGCAGTCCAGGCCCATTGCTTGCTCCCATACAGAGAATATTTACAATAGCACAGAGCCCATATTCATAACTTCATATTTAGAAATCTTGCAAGTACATTAGTAGCATACATTGAATCAGTAGGACATAACCTTTTGTTTGACACCTCACATGGCCCACTTTGTACAGACTTTGGGGCAAACAGTGATCAGTCTGCTCACTTTAAAATCCAATAACGTGACATCTGGCAAAGCTGAAAGGGTTTTAGGAAAGTTCTGCTTGTTGTTGCTAGTGAGAGCCAAGGAAGTGGTAATGGATAACTACTCTTCATTCCGAAGATTTCTTATTTAAGGTACTATTCAGCTCAATTTTGCCATTTATTCCTTTCTGGTTTGTGAAGTTGCTGGGGAGATGATTAGGGGATACATGCATTATTGTCATCAATATCCTGATGACTCTTAACTGTACATCTCCTTTGCCTCAGGCACTAACAAAACTGTTTCCATATTTTCCTGATGTCTGGAAGATAGACCAGGATGAAAAGCTTAAGCTCACTATGGCCAAGACAGAGACATTGGTTGGCATCTTGAGGAATTGGCAAATTCTGTGAATATTCTTTTCGGCTGATGGCATATACCATATATTGATAAAGCGACCTTCAGAGTCTTGCTGCTTATATATCAATACTCACCCAGTCCCAGATTGCAACAGTGGCTATATGTGGCACTTTCTGTCTTAAGCTACACAAAATCCTGAGCTCTGTCCTTTCTAATATATATGTAACTGCTGTATGGATATATACTGCCATCATATTCTAATGTATTTTTTCAGGAAGGTTTACATTAAAATAAGAAGCCAATAGTTGTATATTTTTGCTGCTTGAAAAATTTCAGGTGTAAAGGGAAATTTTAAAAATAAAGTAGCCATTCCATATTTAAAAGACATTGGTTTTCTCTCGCATGTGCCATGTTTTCACAAATATAATATTTGATATTCCAACATAATTCTCCCTGTCTAAATACAAACACAATAGTGATGTGGAGTTTAGTATGATACTAAAGAACTACAGTTCATTAGAGTGTTTAGTTCTAAAGTATCCGTCACTTGGATGGACTTATAATTTTTGTTTAGTGTGGCTGTTGTATTATCATGAATTGATGTGACTTCATTTTCATATGAAATAGTCCAGTAAACCAAATAAAAACCATATGTGTCTTTATTTTTCGAAGGCTGGAATGCACGGTTGCTGCTGCAAAGAATCCCAGTTTTAATATAACCAGCAGTGTTTCAAGTGGGCGAAGCACATCTTCCTTCAACACATTTTCCTATGTGGTAAGCACTATCATTAAAATTGTAGTGCCAAAATTAATTTAAATATTAAAACAGGAGACAGGCTGCTAAACTAGATGCATCATGGATCTGACCCAGTAAAGCAAGTCCTGTGTTCCTGTTGGTGTCATTTTTGCTTCATTGAAGTGTTAAGAATATTATGATTGTGTATTCTAATAGGCTTTTTAAAGGCATTGAAGCACGATTTAACAAGGCAAATTATTGTTTTTATCCCTACAGAATCCTATAATAACAAGTATCTCTCCCACCTATGGTCCCAAGTCTGGTGGAACATTATTAACATTAACAGGGAAATACTTAAAGAGTGGGAAATCCAGAGAGATTTATGTTGGTGGGAAGCCATGTCCCTTAAAAAGGTATTATACTCACAAGAGTGTGTTTGCTTTGTATTATGAATTGGGGTTGATTAAATGTCTTGGACATAACAGAGTAAATAAACCCATCCACTAATGCTATGTAGAGGTGGCACTATAGTATGTGTTCTGCATATTTGATTGTGCTAGTTTTCAGTTCTGGTGTACTGGTGCAATACCTGTGCCCCACGAGGCCAGGAAAAAGACTCAGCTCTTGTAATGCATGAATTTCTCTACAGTACAAGAGAAGGTAAAAAGTTAATGACTGCTCCTGACTGGCTAAAAATTTCACACATACTATTATTATTGTTTTAGTCTGCTCCATCCCAATTCGTTACTCAGGTCCATCTTTAAGATTGTAAAGCCACTGAGGTATTTTCTGTATATTTGCATAGCATCTAGCATAGGGGAGCCCTGACATGCTCGAGGCCTTGAAGGCCTTCCCTCCCACATGCACCAGGTCTCAGTTGACCTTGGCTCTGAGATTGGCTGCCGCAGGTTTTGTTTTGCTTTACAGACAAATCCTAAATGCTGCTTCCACATAATCATTAAATAACAAAAGCTATAGGTTTGAGGCTAAGAAATATTGTGAAGTTGCTGGCTGTTTTACTAATCAACAATAATAATATTATACAATTTATATTATAGAGCTTAGCCCTGGTCATGGACCAGGACCCTGTTGAGCTAACCATGGTACAAACACAGATGTTGTATTTATTGATACAGGCTGTGTCTACATTGGCATCCCTTTCCGGAAAAGGGATGCTAATGAGACACATTGCAATTGCAAATCCGCGGGGGATTTAAATATCCCCCGCGGCATTTGCATTTACATGACTGCCGCTTTTTTCCGGCTTGGGGATAAGCCGGAGAAAAGCGCCAGTCTAGACGTGATTCTCCGGAAAATAAACCCTTTTCCGGAGGATCTCTTATTCCTACTTTCAAGCGTCTAGATTGGCGCTTTTCTCCGGCTTATCCCCAAGCCGGAAAAAAGCGGCAGCCATATAAATGCAAATGCCGCGGGGGATATTTGAATCCCCCGCGGATTTGCAATTGCAATGTGTCTCATTAGCATCCCTTTTCCGGAAAGGGATGCCAATGTAGACACAGCCACATTGTGCCCAATCCTGTACTTGGTTAAATAGATGTGATGCATACTTATGATAATGGAAGTTGCACCTATTTAATTTGTGCAGAATTGATCTAAAATTTGGATTTTTCCATATGGTTATGGAAAAACCTACTAGCAAAAACTTTCATTTGTGGGACACAAGAGAGAGCAGTGATCTTTAAGTTGATGTACAAGACCTAGAGTTAGGAGGGATGTGTTTCATTCTTAACTCTGATGTTGATTTAATGTACATTCTTGACCAAGTCATTTGAGCTTTCTGAAACTCCATTTCCCAGTCTGTAAAACGGAGACACTTTCCTTGCAGGAAATATTAAAAACGCTTCAAAATAATGAAAATATTGTTGCCTATTGAGAACCTGTTTCAGTTTAAAGTAATGGGTTTGATTCTCTGTGCACTTGTACTTGTTTTACACCAATGTAACTCCATTGATTTTGGTTGAGTTACTCCTGAGTTTCACTGGTGTAAATTTCAGAGGGGTAGCCATATTAGTCTGTTTCAGCAAAAACAAAAGGTGTCACTTTAACGACTAACACATTTTATTGGGATATTAGAGCATAAGCTTCGTAAGCTACAACTCACTTCCTCAGATGCTATAGTGAATAAGAAAGATGGGGGGGGGACAGTGACATCAGTGCTAATAATACAGAGAGGGGACAGTGACATCAGTTATAATTAAATCAGAACAGATGTGTCTCATGTCCAACAGTGGTGCGAAGGTGAGAGTACCTGAATGGGAAATTACCTCTTGTAATGTGAGCACCACAAACAAGGTATTTGTTTAGACCTTGATTCAGGGTGTCAAATTTGCAAAGGAATTGCAGCTCAACAGTTTCTCTCTGCGGTCTGTTTTTTGAAGTTTTTCAGTCTGAGAATGGCAACTTTCAATTGAAAATGTATGCCCAGGGAGGTTAAAATACTCCCCCACTGGCTTTTGGATGTTGTGTTCCTAATGACTGATTTATGTCCATTTATTCTTTTGCATAGACAGTCTGGTTTGTTACAATGTACATGGTAGAGGGGCATTGTTGGCACATGATGGCATATATTATATTAGTAGATGTGCACGTGAATGAGCCTTTGTTAACGGTCTTTAAAGTGCCACTGGACTCCTTGTTATTGGTGTAAATGACAGTGGACAAGCTCCACTGCAGCCAAATTTCCACCATGTTACAATGTGGTCTTTTGTCCTTATTCCCTTTAGTGCTGACCTTTGGTCTTTCTTCCTTCACCTTTCCTGTGACCTGTGCTGGGTGACAATCATCTTACATATACAATGTTAGGTGATTTTTAAAGCCTACTAAGTGGAAGCCCTTTGACTCATTATTAAAGGCCATAACCCAGATCCTCAACTCATGTATATCCAGATAGATCCATCATCCTCAATGGTGCTTTGGCAATTTGCTACAGAATAGGCTTAAAACGCTAACTTTCTCCAAGACCAAAATCCCAGTTTAACTTCACACAGCCAGTTTTTAGAGGGTCAGGGTCTTCACAGAGATTGTACAATGTCGCTCTTTTCTCATCAGAGCAGGACTAGAATGATAAGGAAACCACATTTCAAAGACTGTTTAGCATTAATAACGTTATTGTCCCATTCTTATCTCATGTTTACTTTTGAACTGCTTGTTTGTACCCTGATGGCAATTTGTGCTACTGGATCCTCCTGCAAGATCAGGGCCTAATTGAGGAGTGTAATTTAAACAGATTTTTTGTGATTATTACAAGTTCCCGTCTTCTTCTGAACTTTCCTTCCAGTGACTCTGACAGCACCGTAGAGTGCTACACACCCCCACAAAGAATTCCATCAGAATATCCTGTTAAAATGAAGATTGATTTAGCTATTCGAGAAGCTACAGGTCATTTTATGTACAAGGAAGACCCTATTGTTTTAAAAATACATCCAACTAAATCTTTTCTTAGGTGAGTAAAAGTATCTAGTAGCTACAGTACAGTAATGAATGAGAGAATGACACCATTGGGCAAAAATCTATCAAGAGAAATTGGACATTTTATCTCTAGATGCCATGACAATTTTTCTTACTATGGTCTGGTTGCAGAGGACAGATCATTTCCTTACAAATATAAAAGGGAGGATTTTTCTTTCAGTTTTTGAATATGATTTAACTTCAGTGCTGCTGAGTGTACCATTAATGTCAAGCTGAACTACATGTAACTAGTTACTATGTTCAGACATTCCATTGATTACAGTGATCAATAGTTTTAACATGATAATTCTGGATACAGAGAAGTAAAGGGGTGTAACTGTGCTTTTGTGGGTCACAACTGAGAATACCAAATTCAAGACAAACTGAGAAATAGGACAGACAATTCCCGAAGCTGGTGGTTATTCTCCCATAAGATAAACCAAACCAGCAACAAAAGTAAACTTGTGTTTCACCACTCTGGCTAACAAGGAATTAGAAAAGCAATTTTCTAAGGCATTCCAATCCTGGTATCACCATCAAAAATACTGAATTTAATGATGAGTGGTTATTTAAAAACCAATGCCATCAAATAAAAGAACTTTTCTGATCCCAAAAGACCAGCCACACTCCCGGGTCAATACATACCGTGAATTAGCGAATATAACCTGAGGGTTATACATGTTTTTACAAACCCTGCCCCCCCTCCCCGCGGGGTATACATGTCCGCGTCTTATATAAATTGATTTTTACTCCAGAAGCATCCGTTCCCCTAAGCGGCTCTGCCTCCCTCTCCTCTCTCCCCCCTTCTCTCTCCCCCCCCCCATTAGAACTGGGTTAGCTCCACTGCAGGGAGGGCCTGACGAGCTTCCAGTGTGTCTGCACTGAGCTCTTTGTTCCCGCTGCCCGGAGGAGGGTGGGTGGTGCCTGGCTGCGTGGGGCAGAGTGGGCCTGGGCATGAGCATGGTTCCTGTCCTGCAGGCTGGCTGGGCTCGCTGACAGCAGGATGGCCGTCGCCTTGTGTTTGCTCTCTATGCGCTGCTGCTCAAGTGCCCAGGGCTGCTGCAGAAGTCTCTGTGGGTTATACACGTCCATGGGTAATCCATTATTTTTTTTACACAGGATAGAAAAACTGCAGGTAATACAAGGGTGTGGTTTATACATGGACGCGGGTTATATATGCTAATTTACGGTAACTCAACTTTTACCCAAAAATCACTCTGTTGCCAATCCTTTAGTATCTAAAATCTAAAAGTTTATTCATAACAAGAAAGAAACAAAGGTAAGAGTTAAAATAGGTTAAAGAAGTCAAGTATATACAGTAACTGCAAAGTTCTTGTTTTAGGCTTGTAACAGTGATGCAGTAAACTGCTGGCTTAAGTCAACTCTTTGGTTGTTCCAAATCATTGAAAGATCCTTGATCCCTTGGTTACGATGCTCCTATAGCAGGGGTAGGTAAAAAAAGAGCCCCCAAGGGCTGGATCCAGCCTGCCAAGTGAGTTGATCCAGCCTGCGGTGGTCCTGCCACTACCCTGCCTCCAGGCAAATCAAGGCCTGGGGGCGGGGGGATGTTCACAAAGTCTCGTCCCACTCTGCCCCTGCCCTGCAAAGAGTTTGTGATGCTTAGAAGCACTGCATGCTGCTTGTAGGATGGGGGCAGGGTGGGAGGAGACTTCACATGCTCCTCTCGCCCCCCCAAAGCCTGATCGGCCTGGGAGCAGAGGGAGAGCACGAAGTCTCCTCCTGCCCTGCAAGAAGCTCAGCTGGCAGTTGACTCTAAGCACGGCACTCCATGTGCACCCCTGCCCCCAGGACCTGAGTGACCTGGGCGTGGGGGGAGCGTGTGAAGTCTCTTCCCATCACTAGGGGCATGGGTACCTAGAGGAAACCACCGGCTGTTCAGAGCAGCTGGCGGTTCTCTGTGGGGGTGAGGGCAGTAAAGACTCCACGCGCTCCCCCCACTGATAGACCAATCAGGGTCTGTGGGGGGGGGAAGCGCGGAAGTATCCTGGCCCCTGCCCCTTTCTGCCTGAGGCCCTACCCCTGCTAGGGCAACCCAGGGCCACTAAATTTCTGGTAAAAAATTATTGCCCACCCCTGTCCTATAATGTAAGTCACATGGCAATGCGTAATTTTACTTAGACACATTAGTGGCCATTAGCTGTACATCAGATGGAACAAGCACAGGAAAGTCCATTCAGTGTTGAGGGGCATCTTCCATGGTCCATTGTGAGGTAAGTATCCTTTCTAAACCACTTAATTTGACTAGTCCTTTCAAGATGTGCTGGCTAACTACCTTGTGGGTGTTATCTCAGGAGGAAACATTCAAAATATAGGTATAGAGCCAATACCTTCAATACAAACATGCATGATACATGCATACAAATAGCACAGTCATATTCAGCAAATCATAACCTTTCCATAGACACCTTATTCGACAACCATTGTATAAGATTTGTTGCAAAAATATAACAATGGTTGTAACTAGGGATATAAGCAACTAATCAACTAGTTGCTTCCCCCCTTGCTGCCTCAAATAGAGCCAGTGCAGGAGCCTGCCAGTTTTTAATACATTTAAAAATCAGAAGCACAGCAGGGGAGTGGAGAGGGACCTGGTGTGAGCCAGGGCTGCTGATTCCCGGCTCACATCCGGTCCTCCTGCTGTGTACCAGCCTTAAATGAAGCACAGCCTTTTTACAGCCTTTAGCCAGAGCTAACCCCGCTGTGCCTCCCCCACTTATCAATTAATCAGCTAGTCAGTGGAAAATACTTTGACTAGTCAATTAGTTGATTAAATGAAATTTAACATCCCTAGTTATAACAATGATCTATGTGGTCATATTGTAATCCGATAATGTCACAGGGAGTTCTAAGGCAAAACAGCTCATACATACATGTGTCATATTTATAGTCATGATAATACAATTTTGTGTTGTTAAAGAAACTTAATTACAAGAATTAAATATGACTATTCTAAGCTATATTTGAGCTTGTATTCCCTATTCAGATTGTATGTCTTTAATTTTGTTTCCATGCTGTAATTTGATTTAAAATATATGTGGTTATATGTTTTTTTTTCTAGAAAATACAATAGTAATGATTAATCTTTAATTTTTACCAGTGGTGGGAGCACAATTACTGCTGATGGAATCAACTTGAATTCAGTATCTCTTCCTCAGATGGTGATCACTGTACCTAAGCTAGGAAGGAACGTCACTGTGGTGAGTCAGTCTCCTGGATGATAAAATATCATCTAATTTTCATAACCTGAATGGCTCCTAGTCCCTTTGGTCTTGCTTGTGCCTTGTGCCGAGAGAGCTTGATCTTGCCCCCCACTGGAGTCGATGGGAGTGTCACAGGGGAATTGGCCCTTGTGAGTAGAACCAGGCCCAGTGCCTGTGTGTCAGAGGAGGTATCCCAATACAGCCAATGCAAGGGGGCTAGGCTACAAGTCGCACTATAAAGGGCTACCAGCAGGCAGTAAATGAAAGGTGGAAAAGAATGGAGGTGAGGGAAACTGGCTGTATCAGAGTCCTTGTCACAATGGGAAGCAGTCCTGGGGCTACTCTTTCAGGAAGGGAGTAGAGGGGACTCAAATTGGGAAGCTTCTAGGAGAAGGGGGGTCAGACACCTGTGGAACCTGAAGCTGAGGGAAGGGGAGTAAATTAAGACTGTTTTCTATTATGGTACTTGGTTGGGGTCAGAAAATTAACCTTCCTAAAGGAGACCGGGCGTAGTACTAATAATAACTATAAAAGATTCTATAGGTAATTTGTAATTTGAAAGCAGTGCAAAGTAAAGGATTAAAGAAATTATAGGGACAGCTTATGCTCTATTGAAGCCAACTGCCAAAACTGCCTTTCGCTTTAATCGTGTGGGAATGGACGTGTACTTGAGACGTGAGTGATGATTTATCTCAAGTTAAATAGTACAGTTCAAAAAAGCAAACTTCAAGATAAGCACAGATAAGAAATCACATCACAATTTTTTTTTTACATTTTAAATTAAATAATTGAAGAAGGAAACATTGGAGCCTATTGCCTCTGAGTTTTTGTACTTCTGTGCCAGTCAACCTCCTGTTGAGTTTCACTGCCAGGCATTCCACCACCAGTCTCTGCCCCCAGATTTATTCCTCAAGACAGGTTCCACATTGAAAAGGGAGTGGGTGGGGAGAAGTTAATATAGACAGAGTCAGATCCTGCAGGGGTTGGTGGTGCAGAGTGAGCTTCGCTGCTGCCTACCCTATGCTTCTCTGTGAACTTTGACCCTAAACCAGGGGTGGCCAACCCATTTAACAAAGATAGCCAAAACAGCGGTGCAAAAAATGCGAAGAGTTGCACCAGAATTGTCGAGGAAAAAAAAGCCCCCCAGAACAGAATTGTCAGAAAAAAAAAAAACTTTTTTGAAAGATCCTGTACTCCTGAGGATCTTTCGAAAAGTGTTTTCTTTTTCCGAAAGATCCGCGTCTAGACCGTGGTTTCACTTTCTAAATACCCTTTTTCAAAAGACCACTGAGACATGATTATGCAAATGAAGCGTAGAATATTTAAATCCCCACTTCATTTGCACTTTTGATCTACTTAATTTACGTCCCTCTTTTGACAGAGGCATGTAGTTTAGACATAGCCTGTGTGTTTGTCTGTGTCTGTCTGTCTGTCTCTTCAAGCTCTCCCAAAAGGAGAAAAGGTGGGGCTGGGAGCTAGCCTCCCCCAGCCTGCCCTTCAGTCATATACCTTAACCATAAGCCTGCCACAAATACCCCGCAGAGAATTCCTTTGTTGGAGGGGAACTCCCTGCAGCTGCTCCTGTGATATGGACTGCAGAGAGGTAAAAAGGGGGAGTGCAAAGATACAGTGACCGTAGTGGCCATTAAAGATTCTAAGCCAGCGGTAGCAGCTGAAATTTATATTGAGGCTAAGTCTGGCCTTCAGAATCAGGAAGTCATAATCAGGTGAGGATCCAGTTCTGTCTATTACCTGACACAGAGATCTGACCTCTTAGTGTATATTCTATCTCAACTCTTTTTCTCTGTTTTCATCCAATAAGGTGACTAGAAGAGAAACAAAGGAGATGCCACTGAATCATTAATACTCACTTGTGCACCAGCCTAAACAGCAGCATCTGTGCTTCCAAAGGCTGGTGCATTCTGTGGCAGATCTTCATTATCAACAGACCAAGTAAGATTATCTCTGATGGTCTCACCAAGAGAGAAAATCATTTTGAGATGAGAAACTGCACTCCCCAAGCCAGCTACTGAATTTCTATCCATAGTTCTCATTTTGCCATCCATTAGATTACTGAAAAATCATCCTTTGGGCTTTGAGATAGAGATAGCTAGAGGAACAGAGACAATATAAAAGTCTCTCAAATTGCTGTAGATCTCATCCATCTTTCATTTCCTTTATTCATCATTGGAAAACCCCAGATTTTAGATTCAAAAGTGAAGATCTCCTCTCAGCCACTTCTGACTGTTTCAAATCCTGTAACATGCATCATACTTGCCCTGTGTTATCTGGGTCAACCTTCAGGTGACCCTTAATTATGGAGAAAGATTTCTGCTCTTTATCCTGTTGCTGGAAAAAAAATCAAACTGGCTTGAAGTTCAGGTTCTATAAATGAAGCTTTTACTAATTGCCTCAAGAGTCACATTTTATGAATGAGGCAAAAATACCATGCCTTTGTGGTGAGTCAAATGAGTTATGTGAAGGGTCATTATTCTCTGCTTGGTAAATGTATTTGCTATGTGCTTGTGAAACACTCCACATATTCAGCATCTTTTCTTCCTCATTTTCTTCTGATGCAAATTAGTCATAAGCAGAACACAGGTTCAGCTTTTAAAGTAAATGTATTATAAAACCTAATTAAATAAAAGTTAAAGGTGCTGCCTGATAGGCAGTATCTTAATTGAGTAGGCAATTGATTGAATTATAATTCTTTCCTTATAGATTCTCAATCCAATATTTCTTGAAAACTAAGCAATCATATTCTTCAATTGCTAAAACCAATTTCAAGGTAAAAATGTCATGTCATATCATGTATCAAAAAGGGCATTGCAAATAAGATTTATTTTGACCTTACCAATCAGTCACATTGCCTCACCTCTAAAGAGTATTATTAGATTTTTATCATTCTCTGAGAGCATCTGCTTCAGAGACTGTCCTGATAAAGTAGATGGGTTCAGAACCAATTCCAACAGATACCCACAAACAAAGTTATGAATACCACTGTTATTGATTTAAAAGACATCACTGTTGTTCAGTAGATAAGATGTGTAGTGATTTTACATTAATCAAGTAAGTATAATGATTATCTACAATGTGTTTGGTTGTGTAAACATATGTATGTGAGGGTGCATCTACACAGCACCCTAAACTCGAAATAAGATACGCAAAACTTATTTCAAAACTGTTTTGAAATAACTTATTTTGAAATTTGGCTTAGCTACACAGAGCCATCCCTTATCCATCGTGCAACAAGGTTTACCAGGATGGCAAAATAATGCGCCCATTATTTTGAAAAATATTTCAAAATAATGGGCAGCTTCTGTAGATGCAGAGTAGCTATTTTGGGATACCTACAGTATATCCGAAAATAACCATGCAGTGTAGACATACTTTTACTGAAGTTCAACAAAGTATTATATTATTGGTTAAAATAAAGTTTCACGCCAACAGTAGTAGGTCCATGTGCTAGAGAGCCTAGGCAGTGTCCAGACTCAGGGTTTTTTTCGAAAAAACATCCCCTGCGTCTAGACTGCAGCTGCATTCTTTCAAAATTAAATCGAAAGAACGCGGCTTTTCTTTCGACGGCGGTAAACCTCATTTCACGAGGAAGAACGCCTTTTTTCGAAAGTGCTCTTTCGAAAAAAGGCGTTCTTGAATGCCAACAGGGCTTTTTAGAAAGAGAGCATCCAGACTCACTCGCTGCTTTCTTTCGAAAAAGCGGCTTGCTTTTTCGAAAGTACTGCTTGCAGTCTAGACGCTCTTTTTCGAAAGAGGCTTGCAGTCTAGACATAGCCCTAGTAACAAATGCAATTGAAATATAGAAAAGGACATAATTTAGTTGTACTATAAAATTAAGGTGCCTGATTCTACCTTCTCTTGCACCTCAGAGATCACACTGGTGTCAGCAGGAGTACATAGGTATATCTGAAGGCAGAATATGATCCATAAAACCAAATACCACATGGGTTCAATTCCCATTTTCTTCTGTGAGAGCTGCAGCCATTTAACTGAGAGCAGAACTGGGCCCACAGTCCATAGCTAAGTCAACCTTATAGTATAAATTTAAAACTCCAGTGTGCCTTTCCAGATTCTTAAAAAAAGTGGTTTTTTTTGGCAGAGCTAAGATTTCATACTCTTATATATGAAAACATGAATTATTGTGGTGATAAGAAAAAATGCTGATCTATGGACAGATAATTTAATCCCACTTTTCAAGCTAGTGTGAGTAAATGGCTTTAAACATTATTATGCTAATTTGATACAGAGCTAAATTGTACTGCATTAACTTGATATAAAAGAAACAATTGGAAAATTGTTCAGGTTGGTTTTTATAATGAGAATCAATATAACTAAAAAGGAATATTTGGCTCTATTTATATATACAGAGTTATTCTGCAGTAATATTAGTTTTCTTGGGATTTGAAAGGTGGGGTAGAGTACAGAACAGTAAGGGTGGTTGTAGAATGACCAGATAGCAAGTGTGAAAAATTGGGGTAGGGTAGGAGGTAATAGGCAATTAGAAAAGACAAGCCCTGAATATCAGTGCTGTCCCTATAAAATCAGGACATCTGGTCACCCTAGCTGGAAGTGCTAAGAACTAGGGATGTTAGATGTTGATTAATTGAATAATTGTGTAATTGCATCAAATGTTAGCAATTACACAATTATTCGGTAGCCCCCAGAGGCAGGGTCGGCAGCCAGTGTGCTGCCGGCCTCACTCCCAGGTAGCCCTTTGCCACCCCACACTGCATCAGAGGCAGCAATGCGGGGGGCAGGCGTGGAGAGTCAGCCTCTATCCGCGGCGAGCCTGGGCATCCCACAGCAGCAGCCCCTTCCCCCCGCCTCCCATACTGGTGCCTCTGATCTAGAGGCGGCAGCACAGGGGACAAGAAGCTCCGTGGGCGCTGATATGTACAGTCAGCCAGCTTGAAAGCCAGCATCCTATGTGTATCATCTTCCCCCTACCCCTTCATCCTCTGCATAGCTGCCTCTCTATCAGAGGCAGCAGCGTGGGGGAAGGGCAGGTAGATTTGCAGGATCCAGTGCTCGTGTGGAGTCAGCTTCTAAGGTACTGGCTCCCACCTCCCCCTGCTTGCGGCCTCTGATACAGGCAGTATAATATAGTATATGGGTAGTATATATGATTAACCAATAAGCCCAGATTTGTTGGTTAATTATTTAGTTTACTACACATTGACATCCCTACTAAGAACCATGATTAATGCCCCAACTGTCAGCCATGCAACAGACATGTATAGTCTCTGTGAAGTGGCTGCTGAGCTGGAGGGTGCAGTGCTTATCTTTGGGGGACTTCTTGCGGAACTGAAGTAATGCCATCTGCATATGAGCTGCAGGTAGGAAAGGGAGCAGACTCAGGGTACGTCTAACCTGCCGGAGGTTTCTGGGATACCAGTTGTATCCTGGAAAAATCCAGGGAACGTGTTTGCTCTTACGCTTTTGTGTGTGTGTGTGTGGTAGAGCAAACGCACTCTTTTGGGGAACCCTGTATACCTCGTTCTATGAGGAATAAGGGCTCCACTGAAAGAGGAGGCTTTTCTATCATTTGGCCCCATCTAGATGGGGCCAAATTGTGGAAAACCCTCTTCCGGAAAAGCAATTGGAAAAAGCTATGCAAATTGCCAAGCGTAAGTTGCGTAGCTTTTTCCGAAAAAAAGCCCTGTAATATAGACCTAGCCTCAGAGTACAGAACACAGGCCTCTTTGGGACTGACTCATATTATAGCCTCAAAGACAGCCACTGTGGCCCTCAAGGTATGTGTCCTTTAGATATAGGCTCCCCTTGCATCCTCTGCCCCTTGACTAGGTCAAGCAAAACCTGAGGGGCTGTTATGCGTGATGGTAGGGTTGCCAGGTGTACAATTTTCTACCATTATGTTCAATCGAGTAGGGAAACTGGAAAGTCGGGCAACCTTCAGGAATCAGCTTCTGCCACAAGGGAACATGCAACACAGCAGCTGCTGCTTGAGTCTGGAGAAGCAGCTCTCTTTAGCAGGTGCTGTCCCTCCCACTATCCCCCCTCCCCTGATGGGGAGAACTGTTTGACTCCCGGACTGTTGTACTCTAAAGAAGACACTGGTGCCACCCAGAATGGCAGAGGGAGAGTAACCTGTCTGCCTACAACCTTGCTGTGCCCTGATTTCCCCTCTTCAGCTCCTTGTCCAGGGACTAACATCCTCTTTTGCTCTGCTGTGCCATGATTTCCCCAGTTCAGCCCCTTGCTCTGGAAACTGATCTGCTGTGCCCTGATTAGGCTGGTGGGCAGGCTCTACACCAGCTCTTCCCAGCCTGGCTCTGCAAGCAGCAGGTGATTCCCTGAGGATGGGAGAACAAGTGACAGGGAGGGGAAGTCACATGGGCAGGGCCGCAGAGGAAAAGGAGGGGCAGGCTTGGGGCCTTAGGGAAGCAACAGAGCACGGTTGTTTGTTTTCCCGGGATTAGAAAGTTGGTAACTCTATGGAGGGGATTTTCTGATGGAGAGGATTGTTTTGAGTTAGTATCAAATGGGAGAAGTTTTGCATGCATGGTGGGACATTATCCAAGATGAGGGTTTAAAGGAAAGAGAAGATTTCTAAGAAATATGGATGCTGAGAGGAAGTTGAGGGGAAGGTTTGGCAAGATGGGGTAAGAGAATGGAGGGAATATGGGTGAGAGTGAGGGAACTGTTCAATGATGGTGAGTCTGGATAAAGCAGTGGTAAGGGGCAAGAAGACAAGAATGCAGGCAGTTCTGTGGAGATGAATGCTCCTTTCTCTGTACCCAACGCCCTAGGTTTACTATTAGAATTGCCCTATATTTACTATATGCCCTATGTTTACTATTGGAATTGAGGGTGCAATTGAAGGGCTTCTTGCTCACTATTTTCCAATCAACCTCATGCTTCACCAAACCCCTGCCTGTGACATCCATCAGGAGTGTCCTCATTTGAAAATCTGGTCAACATATCAGAGGAGGGGCCACTTACAACTGCTGCTGCAAAGTATTATGTGAAGGTGAATATTAAAATAAATAGGAAGTGCTGTTGCTTTTGGTATTTATGTATTTCCTACCCTTAGCTTAGCTGACTCATTTTTACACTTATTGAGGTGCATAGTGGAGGAATGGAGATGAAGAAGTAGGAATAAAAGAGGTATTGTTGGGGGGCGGGGTGGAAACCTGAGATTTCAGAATTTTGTTTTCATCCCTCATTGGAAAGAAACTGAGAGATTTCAAAAAATGTTTAAGAGAAAAGACCCACCCCAGAATAGCCTGTAGCTCAGTGACTAGAGCATTCACCCAGACCGAAGTTCAAGTCCTCTCTGAACCTATGGGCACTCTTGAGGTGGCAGATACCTGTCTTTCTGACCAGGAAAAGTCCATCCTGTACCTGAGAGAGCTTCTCAACCAATCAGCATGATCCAGTGAAAAAAAGATTTTGTCAAAATAGTCCTGACCATCTCCAGTGTCAGCTCTATCATCTTCTCTTATCATTTTTTTTTTTAAAAAGAAAAGGTATAACCAAAAACATAACCCTTCAAAAGCTCATTGTGGGATCATTTCATCTCAGTTGCTGTCAGGAAATATAAGATGAAATGGATCCTGTAGCATGCAGTGTGTGGGCAGACTATAGTGGTGCTTTGTTTGGGCACATTGAGCAGGACTAGAGGCTTACTTATATAATATTAAAAGTAAATTCATGATTTTGTGGCACAGGGTGTATGATGCAAGATTAAAGCCTTAATTATATAATCTTAAAAGAAAATCTGTGAGTGTGTGGCCCAGGTTCTCATAGCATTTTTGGCAGTCATGTTCTGGTCACTTTGGCAGTATAAAGTGCCAGACTCCAGCAGATCTCCACATGGGAGTCCCTCTGACAGAGGCAGGATTTTGGCTGTTGTGTCGTGTCACTGAGAGTGACAAAGCAACCAGAACATAGTATACTGATGATCCTTGGCTTTGAAATTTTCTTTCCATTAATTATCTGCAAAACACTTGCCAGGAAATATGTTTGCTCATACACTTCCTCAAAAGTGTGCAAAAGCCATCAAAGTGAAGCTTTTGCACTGATCACTCAGATTTAACAAAAATGTGGCATAAGATGCATGAGAATTTTACTTTGGTTTTTTTATAGTAAGATTCCTACTGCTCTGCAGCTTTTATACATTTTATTTTAAAAGTTTGGCAATTGAAGTATATATTTTAAGTATTGATATGGTCTTTGAAAATGTTTATGTGCCTTTTGTATATTAAATGAATCTCTCTATTCTGTATCCCTATCTTATTACAGACATGTAACCATCGTTCTAACACAGAGATAATCTGTTGTGCAACTCCTTCACTGAAATCCTTCAATTTGCAACTACCCTTTGTAACAAAAGTGTTTTTCATTTTTGATGGAGTCAAGTCCCCATATTTTGATTTTGATTATGTGAATAATCCTGTTTTTAAACCTTTTGAAAAGCCCATCGTGATCTCAAGGGACAGTCAAAATAAACTGGAAATTAAGGTAAGAAATATTTAGATAGTCTTTTATATTGTTGGCTCTGATCTACTACACTTTACAGAAGCTAAATTGAAACAGTATTCAGTAAATAATATTCAGTAATAATATTGAAGCTTACACCAACAAATAGGTACTAAACCACAAACACTTGTGAGCAGTAGAGGCTGGTGTTTAGTGAAGGTTTGGAGAAAAGTTCTAAAGGATCTCTCCAGGCCTACTGATGGATGTGGAAGACAAAGAAGGCAATTGCCACCGTGGCAGCAACGGCAGCTGGGGCCTTGTGCCCTTTAAATTGCTACCAGAGAACAATGCCGCATGCTTCGTGTGTGTCTGAAGGATGGGGGCAGCGCCACACTCATGGCAGCACAGAAGGCTGACTGGCCCTGGCCCTTTTACCCGAGGCCCCACCCCTTCTGGGGTGCAGAGCTGTCCCCTCTCCCCCATCTTGCCTGGAACTGTGATGGCTGTCAGCCCCGCTGACCTCTGAAGAAAAATATGCAGCACTGAATTTCTTTAGAGCATTCTTCTCTGCTTCTATTGCTTTCTTCTGAAGTCCCAGTTGTCATGAACTATAGATAAGGAGCTGATACTAGAGATATACTACTAGGAGAACACTTAGCTCCAGCAATATCTCCTTCTCACCATGAACCCCAAAACACTTGGGGAATCTTCAGATGCAAACTTAAGAATTAGTAGGAGTAAGGATCTAGCTCAGTATTTGAAATTGTAGATCTGTAGACTCATCTATTCCTCCTTTATAATTTTGTGTCCTTTCCAGTGGAGGAAAATGGAACTGCCTTATTGGCAATGACATTCTAAAAAGCTTGGATGCAGGAATTTCTGGGTGATGTTCTATGGCCTGTGTGATGCAGGAGGTCAAAAAAGATTATCTTAATGGTCTCTCTGGCCTTAAAATTTACAAATTTAGTAAGGGTGCAAATTTGAGAATGAGGGCATGTTCTAAGTAATGAGGCTGTGTGCACTGAGGAATGGAATTCTCCCTCTCATCCCAGCATATACTCTTAATGAAGGGTGTGGGAGTACTAGCACACACTGCCCACTGTGTCTAGCTTGCATGGTTGGAACTAGAGGTGGGCTAAGAAAAGTAATTCCACTGTGAGGAGGGTTTTGATAGAGAGAAATCTGGTTTCATTTTGATTCAGAATGAAAGTCAAAAGGGAAGGGAGCCTGAACTATGAGGCAGCCTACCTGCCAGACTGTCCTGATACTGTGAACCCTGAGAAACCTGGGGTCCCTGACTCTTCAACAGTTCAGCAAGTAGGCTTTCAAGGAGCTAGGTGAGCAGGCTTCCAGGAATTCCATCAGACCCATACCTGGGTTTCAGTGGAACTTCTTCAAAATTGAACCATCTCCACAAAACATTTTGATTTTGACACATCAGCATTTTACAAAAGCATTTCATTGGCATTTTCCCAACCAGCTGCACATGGAACCTCTGTCCACATAATCCTCTCTCCTTCAGTTGGCCCACAAACTGATATTATGGAGAGACCCTCTACAGAGTTCAGCTATGCAGCATCCAGAAAGAGCATGGAATCTCTGTCTCTACACAGCTTCTTCATGCAGTGGCCCCATAGCCTTGCCATTACACTCTAGGTCTTGCACATTCTTTGCATGCAGACAGGCTGCTATTGTACATGTAGATTTTGGATTTGGTGCTTCCCCATTTACTCCTTGCTTTCTTTTGCCCACCTAGCTTAGTCCCCACAAGGGCCCTATATTTACCATTTCTTCCTCCAAGAGGTTGTCCTGTTTCTGCTTAGTTGGAAGCAGCGATGATGGTGGAGATTAGTTAAGAACTGGTTTATTGGAGAGTGACCACAGTGACACTTCAGCTATGTTAGTTTACCTTGTAGTTGTGGTTTCCTAAGCAGCTGTCTTCTGAAGCCTAATGCCTAAATGATTTCCTGGCAACCAACTAGAGAATGATATTAGTCGAAACTTGTCTCCTAGAGTAAAGCTTGAAGAGGCAGCAATTTAACATCTTCCTCCAAATAAAATTAGTTATAGTGGGATGCTTCCATCTAAACTGACTTTTGGAATGTATATTCAGGAGCCAAAAGATCATTACACGCCATACTGACAACATTTTCCCTTCACCCATAGACACATAGAAAACCATACACACGTAAGTTTACATGCCTCATGATCTTATTTTGAGCAATAATTAAGCAAGCACAGCATGAAATTAAATGGAAACTTGCTTCAGTGAACAAACTGTTCTAACTAACCAAAGTTCTTTTATCTTTTTCTTAATTACCTTTAGAAGGGAGAGGGAGCTTTTATCACAAGTTTTTCAATTGGACTAATCTAGTGTGACACATTTGGCTTTCAACAAATGTCTGGATACTAACTGAAGGGTTTTTTCTGGTTTCCCTTGATGAGCACAAGAAGTTATATAAGAAAATTTGCTCAGAAAAATTTGTATTTATTCAGCTGCTTTATCTAGGACTTTGTGCATCTGGGCATTGTGTTCCTAAAGTGACAGACCTTTTTTGTCTTCAGTAGAAGGCTTCCAAAACTCCATATTACACTTTCTCAAGGTTCTTCATCACAACCTTTGCCAAATATGTGACACGCTCTGAAGTTGATCAGTGCCAGTCCTGGGCTGGTCAGAGGGGTCATGGCAGAGTGATACTAAGCATTCTCTTGCTCAATTCCCACCCAATGAGCTGAGCACACTGCGTATGAAATGCTCCCATCTCCTGCCAACTTGCAAAGCATACAATTTAGAACAAATCTTATTGTCTGTCAATCTGGGACAGACAAAAACTCTGTCTGAACAAGAAAATGTAATTACTTATTACCTGACAAAAGAAATCAGTGACCTGTTCTTATGAACTTTGGGCCTGCTAACTGCCCAGTGCATCCTATCTCTAAATGAAAAATGATCTGTCTCAGTTTCCATGTGAGCACCATCAAACTGCAGAAGGAATGGATGATTTGCCCATATGGCCTGCTCTTTTTCTGAATTCCTCTTATGCCACTGTTCAACCAATTGTGTTGTACCATACTTACAGACTAATTATTCAAGTTTTCTTCTTCCAGGCTCCCAAATACAATATCAGTCTGTCTATCCTTGGGTATTCTGTCATCCATTATCATAGTACATAGTCCAGTGACGTTCACAAGGAAGCCATAGGTGCAGAGCAATGTTTGTTTTAAGCCCCTGGCTGGATATGCCAGACAAGCAGGAATTTTAACAGCCGATCAGATCAGGTCAGCAGCTTGTCGTAGCATGTAGGAAGTGATAGGCAAACACATAGACGTAGAAGAAACATCTGCAACCAACTTTATAGCAGCTCTAGGTCAGAATTGACAGAGAGACACTTCAGTTTGTCTTAGCTGTGCATATGATCATTACTTAAGATTCTCTTGAAAATGTCCATCAGTTCTATTCCGATTCAGAGGCAGGGTATTTAATTAAGTGGTGCTGCTGTGAGTCCCTATAAGATTGAGCACAAGTGCACTATGCTGTCTGGAGCTATATTTTCTTAAATATTTGTGTGCTGCCCAGCACCAAGAGAGTGCTTCTCCTAGGAAGGCTATTTGCCTGGTTTTAAGCTGGACATCTGTTTTTAATTGTCTGTCCCTTCTGATATGGGAACAGAACTGATCATGGTTTTATCTGCTGTTGTGAAAGGGAGACTATGACAGGATGTGGCCCCGATCCTGTGTCTTTCCTAGCCACAAACCACACAGAGACTTTTTTCTGGTCAAACACTTTTTGCAGTTTTTATAGTCTTCTCTCTCCCATTCTTACAAACCCGCACAGCTCTACATTTATGATAGCATGCACTCAGCTCAAGCAGCAAAGTTGGGGATGGAGAAAGAGGGGTATCTTCCATCTTCCCCCACTATTGTGACCTTGTATATACTGAGCATGCATAGTCACATGCGCAGGGTGGAATCTCACAACCAGGGGCAAGTCCACACTACTCCTGGAATCACCAGATTATCCTGTATTCTGGGTATGCATGAATGGTCACCCTCCTTAATTCTGAACAGGGTCTTTGGACTCTTACATGATTCAAGTAGCAATAATAATATTGATTAGTCTTAGTCTGGTATGTAGTGAAGGGCAGTTTTCCTGAGTAAGGAGTGCAGAATGGGATTCTTTTAATGCCACCAATTTTTTCTAGTGAATGCTCATCTCTGGCTTGTAGAACATGTTTCTTTGTATCCAGTTTGCTAGAGTGACCATATTCCCAAAACTGGCCTGGCCTGAGCCCCCTCCTATCCTACATAGAATTGAAGCAAACCTCTCATCCCCAACCCAGGGCTGGCCTACACTTCTTGGCACCACTGTTTGCCCAAGCCCTGCTGTCTGGAGCCACTTCCCCATCCTTGCCCCCCTCCCCACAAAATGTTCCTCTGCACTCTCCCCAGGGAATGCATCCTATTTTGGGGGGCAAAACCAGGCATTTTACCTGTTTGCTCTTGTCAACTGACCATCAACAAATGTCTAGTTGGGCATCTGGGATAGAGGATCTGTCCAAGCCCAAAATAGGATGTATGGTTACCTTACAATTTGCCCTGTTCTGTGCTAGCAATTTGCTGTCGAGTTTCACTCACTTTATAAATATAATATATCTCCTCCCCTTGCCATTTACAAAACAAAATGTTTGAGATGCCTACAATGTAGTAGATAACAGAATGCCAGTTTTGTATAAACAGAGCTATATAATGCTTCCTTTCTCATGTGAATTATGCAAAAATGTGCGAGAGTAAAAATACCAGCAGAATATGTTCCTTGGATGTTTACATTTTTAGAAATCCGCGTGGGTTGCATGAGTGTAACTAAGAGCAGAGTTTGTCCTTACGCATTTTCTTTCCCTTTTTGTTTTTCTGCAAAAATGCAATTAACAAAAATTAAAAATGCGCACTGGCTAGGCAAGAGAAGGCTAATTGTGTATTATTTTGTTTTATTTCATGTTTGCTTTTGCTATCATGAAATAATATTTTCTGAATCAATAATAGACCATCTTCTTAAGAGTTATATTAAATGATTAATTAATAATGTTTTAAATTTTTTTCCAGGGAAATAACATTGACTCCGAAGCTATTAAAGGTGAGGTACTAAAAGTTGGAAATAAAAGTTGTGAGAACATCGTCTTTCAGTCTGAATCAATTTTCTGTATGGTTCCCAGAGATCTGCTAAAATCCCATAGTGAGCTAAATATAGAGGTAAGATATCCTTACTCCACATATGACATAATTAATAATGATGCCACTGGAATAATGGTAGCTGCAAACTTAAAATGCATCTCTAATCCTGATGTTGGTAGTGATTTCAGTTCATTGACTTTCCCTTTTGTGTGTGTGTATTAACTTTTCTAAGTTCCAACTTACTTCAGAAAAATGTGAATTCTTTTATGTGAAACGTTATTACTACTTGTATTGAGGGATCACTTAGAAACACCAGTCATGGATGAGGACTCCATTGTATTAGATGCTGTACAGACGCACAGAAAAAGATGATCCGTTCCCCATCTTTAAGAGATAAGATTGTAAGACAAGATACCACAGGTGGATCTGGACAGGTAGACAGGGAACCACATGGAAATCATGAGGTGATAGTTTTGGTTCTGATCCTGCAGGCCTTCCTTGGAATCAATGGGACGTAGAAAAAAGATGAGATAATCTGAATAAACAACAAGAAGTCCTGAGGCATCTTATAGACTAACAGGTTTATTGGAGCATAATCTTTCATGAGCAAAGACCCCTTCATCAGATGCATCTGATGAAGTGGGTCTTTGCTCATGAAAGTTTATGCTCTAATAAATCTATTAGTCCAGGGGTTCCCAAACTTTTTGACGCGGGGACCAGTAAATCCATTCACGAGCTTTTGGAGGACCGGTAACATTCATTTGCATATTTGCATATTCATTAAGCAAATTATGACTATGCAAATAAATTGTTTCTGGTCCTCCCAAAGCCCCCAGTACCAGCTTTAGCAAAGCTTTTGATACGGACACTCACAATATTCTTGCCAGCAAGTTAAGGGAATGTGGATTGGATAAATGGACTGTAAGATCAATAGAAAGCTGGCTATACCAGCTTTGGGTTTCCCAAACTTTTTACTTTAGTTGGAACCCAGTTTTTTTCAATACTGTTTTTGCAGCCCCAAATAATAAACACATATAAGAAAAATGAATAATTTTTCACTGTTTCACCCGGCTGCATCCTCCACCCAGCCTGGGCCAGGGCTTGGGGTACCCGGTGCTACACAGGCACTCTGAGAGGCGGGAGCAGGAGCAGATTGGGGGTAGGGTATCTGGCTAGGAGGGAGAGTGCAAGGAGGGCACTAGAGTAGGAGTTGGACCTCCCTGGTCTGGCACCCTCTGGACCTGACTGGTCCCAGACGAGGGATTTTTTGGCCCAGGGGAGGTCATTTCAGGGCTCCTGGTTTGTTCCCTCCCCACTAGACTTCTTTGCACCTCCCTCCCCTGCAACCCAACTGAGCTGCCCACTCCAACTAGTTCCCTGCACCTCCCCCAAAACCATCCCCCCACAATCCAAGGGAGTTCAGCACCAGTTCCCTGCAGCCCCTCACAGCCCAGCTGAGCTGCCCTTAAATTAAAGGAGATTGCCTATCTCCTAGAACTGAAAGGTCATCAAGTCTAGTCCCCTGCCTTTACAGCAGGACCAAGTACTATCCTTGACAAATATTTGCCCCAAATCGCCTCCGCAAGGATTGAACTCACAACCCTCGGTTTCATAGAATCATAGAATAATAGGACTGGAAGGGACCTCAAGAGGTCATCGAGTCCAGCCCCCCCGCCCTCAAGGCAGGACCACGCTCCGTCTACACCATCCCTGACAGATGTCTATCTAACCTGTTCTTAAATATCTCCAGAGAGGGAGATTCCACCACCTCCCTTGGCAATTTATTCCAATATTTGACCACCCTGACAGTTAGGAATTTTTTCCTAATGTCCAATCTAAACCTCCCCTGCTGCACTTTAAGCCCATTACTCCTTGTCCTGTCCTCAGAAACCAAGAGGAACAAATTTTCTCCTTCCTCCTTGTGACACCCTTTTAGATATTTGAAAACCGCTATCATGTCCCCCTTTTCATAGAATCATAGAATAATAGGACTGGAAGGGACCTCGAGAGGTCATCGAGTCCAGCCCCCCGCCCTCAAGGCAGGATCAAGCTCCGTCTACACCATCCCTGACAGATGTCTATCTAACCTGTTCTTAAATATCTCCAGAGAGGGAGATTCCACCACCTCCCTTGGCAATTTATTCCAATATTTGACCACCCTGACAGTTAGGAATTTTTTCCTAATGTCCAATCTAAACCTCCCCTGCTGCACTTTAAGCCCATTACTCCTTGTCCTGTCCTCAGAAACCAAGAGGAACAAATTTTCTCCTTCCTCCTTGTGACACCCTTTTAGATATTTGAAAACCGCTATCATGTCCCCCCTTAATCTTCTTTTTTCCAAACTAAACAAGCCCAGTTCATGAAGCCTGGCTTCATAGGTCATGTTCTCTAAACCTTTAATCATTCTTGTCGCTCTTCTCTGTACCCTTTCCAATTTCTCCACATCTTTCTTGAAATGTGGCACCCAGAACTGGACACAGTACTCATTTGAGGCCTAACTAGTGCAGAGTAGAGCGGCAGAATGACTTCATGAGTTTTGCTTACCACACACCTGTTGATACAACCTAGAATCATATTTGCTTTTTTTGCAACAGCATCACACTGTTGACTCATATTCAACTTGTGGTCCACTATGACCCCTAGATCCCTTTCTGCCATGCTCCTTCCTAGACAGTCGCTTCCCGTCTTGTATGTATGGAACTGATTGTTCCTTCCTAAGTGGAGCACTTTGCATTTCTCTTTATTAAACCTCATCCTGTTTACCTCTGACCATTTCTCTAACTTGCTAAGGTCATTTTGAATTATGTCCCTATCCTCCAAAGAAGTTGCAACCCCACCCAGTTTGGTATCATCTGCAAGTTTAGCAGGCTAATGCTCAAACCACTGAGCTATCCCTCCCCCCTTCTGTTCCCTATGCCTTCCCCCATCCACCACAGCCCAGTTGAGCCCTGCACTGGTTCCCTGCATGGCTCCCCCACAGCACAGCTGAGCCCCATTTCCCTGCACCTCCCCCCAAACCCCGCAAAACTGCTAAGCCTAGCTCTGATTTCCCGCCCCTCAGACCCTTTGAGTCTAGCCCCTGTTCCTGGCACCTCCCTCCTCCTGCAGGCAAACTGAGCTCTGAGCTCTGCACCTCCTCCTCCGCCCCCACAGCTCAGCCCAGCACCCTGCACCTCCTTACTCCCGCAGCCCAGATGAGCTCCGTTTCCCTGCACCTCTCCCAACTGCGTAGACATGCTGACCCCAGTGGTGATTCCCTCTCTTCCCTTGAGTCCAGAGCTGGGTTCCTGGCACCTCCCTCCTCCTGCAGGCAAACTGAGCTCTGAGCTCTGCACCTCCTCCTCCGCCCCCACAGCTCAGCCCAGCACCCTGCACCTCCTTACTCCCGCAGCCCAGATGAGCTCCGTTTCCCTGCACCTCTCCCAACTGCGTAGACATGCTGACCCCAGTGGTGATTCCCTCTCTTCCCTTGAGTCCAGAGCTGGGTTCCTGGCACCTCCCTCCTCCTGCAGCCCAGGTGATCCCAATGCCCCGCACTTCCCCGCAGCCCAGCCCGGCTCCCCCCTAGTGTGGTTCCTGGGGGCAACTGCCCTCCCTCTGCTCCCCCCTCGTTACATCTCTGTCGGGAACCCGGGACATCAGGCTGCATCCTCCGCCCAGCCCAGCTCAGGGTTTGGGGGACCCAGCGCCGCACGGGGAATGCAGGAGCCCGGTACACCCCGGCAGCCATGCTGAGGCCTGGTACTTTTTTCCTGCAGACCGGTACCGGGCCACGGCCCATAGTTTGGGAAACGCTGTGTTAGTCTATCAAGTGCCCCAGGACTTCTCGTTGTTTATACAGATTCAGACTAACACGGCTACCCCTCAGATACATGAAATAATCTGTTCTCCTCTTACAAAAATTCAGTTTGTTAGTTTGTTAAAATACAAATATTTAGGACAAGTTCTTGAACCAAAGTCATTCACCTTCTGTGAATCAAAACCTGGGCGCACGTGAGTTAGTGAGGATGTTGCCATTGATTTAAATAGGATTTCACCCTATGTTGATTCATATTACATGACAAGCATCTTTCAGACTGCTGAGAACAGAAAAAAAAATCACAAATTATGTTCCTTTAAACCAGGGGGTGGGGAACCTAAGGCCTGGGAGCCGGATGCAACCCTTAGCTTACCTGGATCCGGCCCCCAAGGCTCAGGGCTTCTGACTGATTGACACACACACACACAGGGCTTCTGACTGATTGACACACACACACACACACACACACACACACACACACACCCCTACCTCCTGGCAGGTTCGTGGGGTTGGTGCACACAAAATGTACCAGGCTGGCCCTCCCAATGCTCTGAGGGAAATGTGAGGCATGTTTTTCTTCTTCTCATGACCAGGGACCATGTCAGTGAGGGTTTGTTTTGGGGGGGGGGGTCGCTTCTCACTTGTGTGTGGCCCCCAAATCATTTTTCTGAGGGTCAGTAGCCTCCAACCTGAAAAAGGCTCCCCACCCCTTACTGTGTATCTTGTATGCCCTATCCTGCTCCACTGAAATCAACAGGAATCTTGCCAGTGACTTTAGAGAGAATAGGCTCAAAACTTGCAGTATGACTTTCATTTAGAGCCGTGATTTCCAAACTTTTTGTATCACTAGTTTTCAGAATGGAGAGGGGTAACTAGTGGTGCTCCCCATGGTTCTGTACTGGGACCAATCCTATTCAACATATTCAGAAATGACCTGGAGAAAAAGGTAATCTGTGAAGTGGCAAAAACTTGTAAATGATACAAAACTGCTTAAGATAATTAAGTCCAAAGCAGATGCCAAAGAGCTTCAAAGGTAAAGTGGGACACTGGACAACAAAATGGCAAGTAAAATTCAAGTTGATAAATGCAAAATAATGCACATTGGAAAATATAATCCCAGCTATACATATAAATGATGGGATCTAATTTAGCTATTATTACTCAAGAGAGATTTTGGAGTCATTGTGGATAGTTCAACTCAATGAGCAGCAACAGTAAAAAAAGCAAACAAAATGTTGGGAATCAATAAGAAAGGGATACATAATAAGACAGAAAATATCATTGCCTGTATATAAATCCGTGGTATGCCCACATCTTGAATACTGCATGCAGATGTGGTCACTTCATCTCAAAACATATATATTGGAATTGGAAAAGATTCTGAAAAGGGCAACAAAAATTATTAGGGGTGTGGAACAGCTGCCCTATGAGGAGAACGTAATATTAATCAGACTGGGACTTTTCCACTTGGAAAAGAGATGGCTAATGGGGGATATGATGGATGTCTGTAAAATCATGACTAGTGTGTAGAAAATAAAGAAGGAAAAGCTATTTACTCCTTCTCACAATCCAAGAACTAGGGTTGACCAAATGAAATTAATAAGCAGCAGGTTTAAAACAAAAGGAGGTATTTCTTCACACAACACACAGTCAATCTGTGGAACTCCTTGCCAGAGGATGTTGTGAAGGCAGGACTTCAACAGGGTTCCAAAAAGAACTAAGTAGTCATGGAGGATAGGTCCACCAATGGCTGTTAGCCAGGATAGGTAAGGATGGTGTCTCTAGCCTCTGGTTGTCAGGGCTGGGAATGGGTAACGGGGATGAATCACTTGATCCAGGCATGTGACATTGGCCCCTGTCAGAAGACAGGATACTGGGCTAAATGAACCTTTGGTCTGACCCAGTGTGGTCGTTCTTATGTTCTTTCAGC